CCACAATGTTAAAAAAATATAAGGAGAAATGTCTTAAATTATTGCTAAATTATTTCATGTTTAATGCATGTTTAATGTTATTTCCTTTTTTTTCTAGATATAAAATAGCCTAAGTTTACGAGCTGCTTAATTAATAAAATGTAATTAAATAAAAAAATTATTTAAAACCATTTTAAAATAAATAATATTCATAAATCATATAATCCTAAATACAAATAGGAATAAGTTACGGGTAGAGTTAGGTTTAGGGGCAGGGTTAGGTCTATGTTTTTGGGTAGTAGCCTAATGTTGATCCAGGATCAGCAAAATATGTTGAGGAACATGTCTTGGCAAAATCACGTTCACCTATGCTTTTCTTTACTACTATCGCTGTGCATGCAAATATGTCTTCGTTTGTCACAGGACTATTTGGATACGCAAAAGGCAGCAGTCAAATTCATTCAGTTTAGTTTCACCTGTTCCAAAAGCAAAAGAGAAACTAGGCTACTATCCAGCTAACAGGGAGCATTCTCAGACTTTGGCTCAACGTTAAGAACAGACATTCTTCCAGTAATTTTAATAGAATGTTTGTTCAAATATATGTGGTCTTTAATAATGATTATACATTTATACATTGTTCATGGAATGTTTTCTGTGAAATGATTTAGTTGGATGTTCATGTAACATTTTTTTATTTAACTACTTGTTTCTGAATGTTCAGCGAACACAATGTCCCTGTTTGCAAAATCATAGAGGAATGTTTCCAAAATGTTACATAACCAAGAAAAGAAAAAAAAATCTAAAACATTTAGAAAACTTAATGTTTTGAACGTTTTGAAACATGCAGAAATAATTTTTTTCATAACTCAACATGAACATTAGCACAACATTCTTAGAGCATATTTTTGTTGGATGGGAAGGACTGTTGAAATGTCAGTTGGAAACACTAAATGAGAACATCTATGTGAGCACCAAATGTCAGAATTCAAAGTAAGAAACGTTGTGGAGTGGAAATTTCCCTGAATGCTGCTTTAAAGGTACTAGCAGGCTCATCAAACACCTCAATGGTTGCAAACATTCATTTCATGGCAACACATGTAAATTGTATTTTTTGTGGTTCATCTTTTTTTAATTGTATTTTTCCCCCTCTGAAACATGACTGATTTTGCAGTGGACTCCTTTTAGAAATGATGTTAAATCCATACACACATTGCTTTCATTACTGGGACAGTTACACTCTCTGTGCTCTAGAGTCTAGGGGGCAGCATTTAACTTCCTTTACAATAATTACAGCTACCAGCAGAGGACTTTATTCATATATACATGTACAGTGAATTGCTCATCTGGGAATCTCTCTAGAGCTCACGGTACATTACAACGCCTGGAATTATGGAAACGGGCATATTCTGAATTGCTACAGTGCTGCAAGACAAAACAACACCTGGTGGTGGTTTTAATTACAACTGCAATGAGTTGTTTTGTCTGAATGGCATTTCAGGTTACATTGTTGTCATTATGTGCATTCATCATTGTTTTAGATATTGATCCAAGTGTGCTACAGGTGGTAACTAAATACATATTTTAAAAACAGAAAGTATGTTAAAAGCACATTTTAGTTCATATTCATGGTGTCCCACAATAGCACAGATGAGTACACTTAGATTTTGCAAGATTATCTTAAGAAGTACTAAAGAATAATTTTTTAGTATATTAAGTACAAAATTAGTGCGTGAAAATAGAGCACTTTAAGTATGGAAGTGCACTTTTTTTTCTCCTGGGCAGCAAAATTCCCAAAAATAAGTTATTTAAAACTGTTTGTCATCATACCAGAAAGGAGCCCAGGAGTGTGATCATGTAAGCACACGCTCACATACACCATACTGTAGATCCAGGAATGTAAGGAAGCTGAGGGTGTTTGCATACTGAAAAAAGACAGTTCACACAGTTACACAATATATCTTACCATACTCTGAAACTGATGTGTACAGAATGTAGTATCAACATAATGCATTTCTACATCCTGAACCTGAACCGTTTTAATAAAAAAGCATACATTAAATAAACAAATACATTTGAATCTACATGAAATGTTTATTTATTTATTGGCATGTCAGTAGTTGCCTTTTTCCCATGGTTGTTTACATCTTCTGTGGTAAATAAAAACCTACACCTACATTAACACCTATAGAGTAACAGCTATTGCCATTATGAGACATGAATGCTTGTAATGCAAATGATCTAATACAGTGTAAAATTTAAAATAAATAATTATGATAATGGAAATGTGATTTAACATTTAGGTTTCAAATAAGCAGGCGGTATTTATTCTAGGGAACATAAAAGAAAATACTTTGCAGAAATGTTGGGAGCCAAAAATCATTGAACTCCATTAACTTCCACTGTATGGAAAAAAAGGAAATCTTATCTTCTTTGCTCCCCAGAAGAAAGTAAGTCATATACTGTAGGTTTGGGATAGCAGATTTTAAAAAATCAGTCCAGTACATAGAAACTGCATCAGATCCAATGACTAAACCTTTATTTTTGATTAAATGAAACCAGTTACATGGAGATATACAAAACTAAAGACATTTTAACTCAAATGTAACACAAGAATGCCATAGTACTGTTGTTTAGTGTTTATAAAGCGCACAATAATGATGATGAATTTATGTTTCAACACTTGCTGATCTTCTAGGTGGTTATCCTAGCTGGTTGCTTTCAATAGGTCTGCCAGGTGTATACTGTATGTCTGATCACACTCGCCTAATTTGAGGCATCATTCATGTCTGGAGCACAAACCGTAACTGTAAAGGTATAGTTATACAGTTTTGGGGGTAATGCATTACAAGTAGCGCAAGTTTCAAGTAACTAACAATGTAACGCATTACTTTTTAATTTACAAGAAAATATCTGAGTTACTTTTTCTATTAAGTAACGCAAGTTACTTTTTTCCCCAATTTATTTATTGACAGCTCTCCTGTCCCTATATTGAGTGAATTCAGAAGTACTGTAGTTACTGTACTGTCCTGTTACTGTAGTTCAAAAATAAATATGAGCATTAATTCATCTTTCACAAAAAAAAAACACAGATTCAGTATTCCTCAAAATGAATAAAAATAATGCAACTCAGAATATGACGCAAATCTGCAATAATTAAATGTTAAACATCACAAATATCCTTTATGTATTTAATCCCATTCTATTAACCAATGTCTTTGCTTCTGACCTTCGATGATCCAGTTCAACCATACTAATAAGCAAAAATTACACCAGAAAAACATGTGTCTTTTTTTATTGCTGAAGTGTGTTGAAATTTCTTCTTTTGCATTCTACTGTACAGACGTAAATTTACTTTCCACTCAGCCTGAGGCTTATTCATTTCACTTTTGGTGTTAAAAGGCTTTTATATTAGCCAAAAATATAACTTTTTTATTTTAAAAACAAACAAGTAAGCCCTGTCCATATTTAAAAAGTAACTCAAAAGTAACGTAATGCATTACATTGCATAAAAAGTAACGTAATTAGTTACTTTTTTATGGAGTAACGCAATATTGTAATGCATTACTTTTAAAAGTAACTTTCCCCAACACTGTAGAATCACACCATTGCACATTTATTGAAGCACATTTTAAACATGAATGGATAGTCTCTTGTTCGACAGCCATTCTCATTTTTACCTTTACATTAGTCTCCACCTACGGTGCTTGTGTATCAAAGTCGCCTAAAGGAAGTATACTTGAACACAACAGTGAACTATTCACTGAATGGCTAAGAAGAATCAAAGTCCTCACTACATGTTTCATGGGATCCAGTGATGTTCATTCCAGCCTTCCACTTGAACCAATACTAGATAAAAGCTACATACCTCAGTGAGGGCAGCTTATCCTTCAGTAGACACACTTTCTTTTCCATGATGTTTCCAAGGTCATTATACTGCAGGTCCAGTTCTCTCAGACTGGCTTTCAAAGACGACAGCAACTTCAAAACTCCTTCTTTAATCTGACAGCCTGAGAGTCTGTTAAGGCAAAATCAGATTTTTGATTAGATCAACTGGCCAAGGAATGACATTTGCCTGTTTGCCTATTTCAGGGACCAAGCAGCATAGCTGGTTGGTTTTTGTACATCATATATTTACCCATTTAGCAAATTACTTTGCATTCAAGCTATACATTTTAATGCATTAATGGTCACGTGACATGCAGATAAACAAATAAAATATTTCATCTTTGTGGTTGATTTATTTTGATTGATAACAAGTGTCTTTGTTAATTCTTTTTTGCAGATACAAGTCAATTAGTACCAACAACATGAAAACATCAAACAAATATTACATTTGATATTTTTTAAATAAAAAGTCACACTATAAAATCAACATTACGTGCTTCAAACACCTTAGCATCTTTTCAAAGTTACCATAGATGTCTTTACAACATCTATTTAACGCACCTGTCTGGACCCTGATGTTTGCAGTTAGTTTTACTTACTTCAGAACTTCAAGATGACACTTAGCACTCCGCAGCCCAGCCGAGAGGATTTTTACTCCTTCGTCTTCTAGATGATTGTCACTGAGGTCCAGGATTTTCAGATTCACATTTGATCCTGAAAGCACACCCTTGATGAACTCCATGTCCTGACTATGGAGGTCATTGTGGCTGAGGTTCAGCATTTGAATCTGGCATTTGGGATCACAGAAGGCCCTAGAAAGTTCCTTCAGTGCAGACCGTCCCAGGCTATTGTGGCTCAGATCAAGATGAGTCAGGTGAGAGTTTGGTGAGGTCAGGAAAGGCACCAGGATATCACAGTGTTTCTCTGTAAAGCCGCCTCCTTCGAGCCTGTATATATTGCATTTAAACTCTGTTATGATTTTGCATTTAAACTCCATTACAATAAACTTTGGAAATATTTTATGATACATTATGAAGATGTGTGCAGATATTTCATAATACTTACATAGCCTTTCTGAAGCATTTGATGGCTGGAGAGAATCTCTGAAATCCTTCTAAAGTGATGTTGAATTTCCTGAGGACAAACTCATCATGGTCTGTATCTGACATCACAAACCGGAAAGCCAGAAGCGTGCACTGGAACAGTGTGAGGGGTTTTTTGGTTCGAGAGCGCTCGAGATCTGGCATCTGCAAAAAAGACCTGTCCTTGAGCTCCACGATGCAACGAACAAGACTAAAACATCTCTCAGGGGACAGATCTTTCCTCCTCAAAGACTTAATGTACTTGGTCACTTTTTTGTGATCTTCTAAACTACTGTCTTCCAATCGAGGCAGGAATCCTTCGAGTATACGTCTGCTGGAATCACAAGAAATTCCGAAGAGGAAACAGTTAAAAAGATCCAAGTGTTCATTTTTGCTTAGCACAGTCACATCAATCACGCTTTTGAGAAAATCAGACAAATTAGACTTTTGCCCCCTTTTCGCTTGAATTAATACCAGGGAGTCTTGGTTTCCTGATAGAAATTCATGAAAAACAAACAAGGCTGCAAAGAATTCCTGGACACTGAGATGGACAAAGCTGAAAAATTTAGTTCTGTTATATCCAAATTTGCACTCAGAGACACAGGTAATGATGCCAGGATATCGAAGAGCTTCATCAGGAGTGATATAATATTTCCTCAAGTCTTCTTTTCTGAAGATGGCATTCTGTTCCTTCAGCTTCCAGTATGCCAACGCTGCCAGTTTCTTAATCAGTTCTTTGTACTGTATGAGAGCATTTTCTGGTGACACATTTTTCCCTTGATATTTGTTGTGGCTTAACCCAGTCTGAATGAGCAGATAGTGGATATACATTTCTGTCTGATTTGAGGGCATGTCCCTGTCTTTATTTGGACTTTTAATGAAGGTTTTCAGAACAACCGATGAAATCCAACAAAATAGAGGTATGTGGCACAATATCCATAGGCTCTTATGAGACTTTAGGTGACGGATGACTTTTTGGGTTAGATCTGGATCCTCAAACTGCCTCGTGAAGTACTCCTCCTTTTGTTCATCTGTGAATCCTCTGATCTGCGTGACATATCCCTGTCTGAAGATCTCAGATGGAAGCTGTTCAGCTGCCACAGGCCGGCTGGTGATCCACAGGTGTGCGGATGGAAGCAGTTTTCCTCTTAGAAGGTTTGCTAGGAGGACTTCCAGTGTGGCTTTTTTAGTAACATCTGACAAAATGTTGGTTTGAAAGCGCAGTTCATTTTTATATTCATCCAAACCATCTAAGATGAACAGAACTTTTCTATCACAGATCCAGTCAGAGATTGATCTTGCCTCTTTGAACTCTGAGTAAAAGGCACAAAGCAGGTCAAAAAGACTCTGGTTTTCTCCCTCACGCAAGTTCAGCTCTCGGAATGGGAGCAGAAAAACAAGCTCTAGATCCTGATTGGCTTTTCCACTTGCCCAGTCATGGACAAACTTCTGCACAGTGACTGTTTTCCCGATTCCAGCAATTCCTTTTGTTAAAACGATCTTCATGGTTCTATTTTCATCCAAGGGCGGTTTAAGAATTTCATTGTAGTTTATGACTGTCTGCCCTGATGTGCTTAAATCATTCGTCGTCTCAATCTGCCAGATCTCGTGTTCTTTATTGATGGGGTCTGACTCGTCATTGATGATGAACAGTTGAGTGTAGATCTTATTAAGAGAGACTGACTGTTGTAAGCTTCCCTCCAAAATCCTCTCAGAGTCCTTCATCATTCTTGATTTCATCTTATTCTTTACACTCTGAAGAGTTTCTAAATATTAGGACAAATTTGGAAAGTCATGTTATTAACAGGAGCATCCACTGATGAATGAATAGTTTTATGCAGCAAGAGTTCTGGCATGTATTTTCTGGCTCTTACCCTTTTTGTTTATTGAGGTACAGTGAGACACCTGTGAGACCTGATAGAAAACAAATACATCGATATAACAGTATATAATATACACTTAAATGAGCAACCCAGCAAAATGTACAATATTACAGTATTTTAGTGATCAGACACTCACCACATGTAGGTTCACTGTAACATCACCAGCTATTTTGGATCCTAGTATGTTTGGAGCAACTAATGTTCCACCGTTCTTCTGGTCAATTCTGAAGTCCTGAAGATACTGGTCTGAATTTTGAATTGATGGTCGTCTGAGTGATGTAGAACTATTATTATTATTATGTTGTGGAATGTTGTCATGCCGTTGAAGTGCCACGTTTCCAAATTGTGCTTGAACGCTGTTACCATCTGTTTAAAAAATAAATACATAACCAAAGAGCTCAAATGTTACAGTAAAGCTTATTGAAGATTGAGCATTTTCTAATAACAAAGTATATTAGAAATATATTCCTACTTTCGATACGTCTCCTTTTGAAGCACTTGTCCACTTTTAATACTTTTTTCTTTTCAGATTTATTCTCCTTCAGAGGGTCTCCCAACTTCCCGGTTGTTCCGCTTTGTTAGGATAAACAGTTCATGATACATTTTAATGTTTTAGATTTTTTTTTATGTTTACATTTGAAAGCAAAAATATACACTACCATTCAAAAGGTTGGAATCTTTAAAAGATTTTAATGTTTTTCAAAGAGTTTTTTCCGCTCACCAAGGCTGCATTTGATCAAAATACAGATTTTTATTAATTGTTTTAATGGAAACTGTCATACATTTTTTTTCTAGATTCTTTAATGCATAGAAAGTTAGAAAAAAGAACAGTATTTACTAAATAGATATATTTTGTAACATTATAAAAGTCTTTACAGTCACATTTGATCAACTGAATGTGTCCTTGCTGAATAAAAGTATTAATTACCCCAAATCGTAGTTCAAAACAAAAATATTAAACGGCAAAAAAAATTTATCCAACAGCTTAACAATAAGAAATGCTATATATAAGCATATTAGAATGTTTTGTAACATGTTCTTTGACCAAACACAACATATTGGGCCTTTCTAAAAGAGGGGCATCTTGGAGACCGGAACTAAACAGCGTTACAAACGAACAAAGAAAACAGGTGCTGCAACAATGTACAATATGTGAAAAATCATGTAGGGCTATCTTTTGAACATTCAACAATTGAAAAACTAGAATTAAAAAAAAAAAGTGCATAATATGGCATCTTAGCTGAAAATGAATAAAATATCTTTGAAAGTAAGTAAATAAATAAGAAAGAAAGAAAGGAGGAAGGAAGGCAGCTACTTACACATTTTACAAGTTTCGAAAACTTAGTTTCTCCTATCGCTAATTATTAGCCTACCATCGGATGCCATAACTACACAATCACTGTTATCTTATACGTTTGAAAAACTTTAAAAGTTTTATAATGGTCATATAATGACATCACCAGCCTAACTGCACATTTGTACCTAACAATTATACATCACTGCTCTTTTCCTTAACAGTCTGGAACCGGAAACATGTATATATGTAGTACCTGTACTGGCGTTTGATCGGTTTCTTCTGTAATACAGTGCTCATCTTCTCAGTCATATCTTTCATGTTGATTGTGTTCACGCGCTCCATCACGAAACATTCGTTCCGTTTGTTTCTGTGGCTTTAACGGTACCTAAACTGTGAAAACAAAAGCGCGTTAACAGTCGCTATCACACATTGAGCTGGAGGTCGAAAAAATGTTTGTCTGTGACTGCGGTCAATCCACCTGCACTTCGTACGTGACCTGAGCTACACGACTTGAAAGAGAGGTTGACACGCTTGATTGGTGGAGTCAAGTGTCCATCTACATTTCTAACCAATTGACACTCAAAAAACCTCATCACCCTGTGCACACTTCAGGGGCACGTTCAAGCTCAAACCGGTGCGCAACGTTTTGCTATACGGTTTCCGGGTTGAACAACATGTTTCCTAGAAACGGTGTGCAATGGGTTTTGAGATACGTTTTCTGCTGGTGCGTTCAAGTCCTCCTGGGACGTTCGTACTTACCAGTTGACAAGTCATAATTAGGACATCAGGTGCATTCAAGTCAGTTTAGTCGGCACAAGATGGCGATGTACCTTCTTTTAATAAATTACAAGAAAATACAACAGAGTCTGTTAACTCTGCTTATAGAAAATGAAGAGCAAAGAATTCGCATCAGGTGTGTTTTGCGTTTTTAATATTTTTAAAAAGTAATTTATGAAGCCACTTTAATCTGTATCACATAAAAACTTGTTATTAATTGTTATATTACAATCCTGCCACATTCAAAAAGCTTATTTTTTGTAAATAAAAAGCCCGACAATGTCACTGCTTAATACCTATAAGTATTGTGATTTATGTTTTACTTTGGCAATCTTTATAGGACAACTAAACTATCAATTTAAACAAAACTTTACCGTCAACTACAGACGTTGCATCCATCGATTCCGCCATGTTTCTCATTGACACGCCCCCAACTCGGAAACTCGGGGCTTAAAGTAAAATTTTGAGTTTCCCAATCATAATAAGGACTTTGTGGTGGCGTTCATGTGCGTTCAACTCGTAAATACGATCTATTCGACATGACTTGAATGCACCATGAGATATATTCAGCTGCAGACCCACAGCACCAGCAGTTTCAGAACCACCACAGAACTGGACGTGAGGGGCGGAGTTATTGACAACAAGAGAGCACGGTGAGTAGTCTGTAATGTTTTTGCTATCTCATGTTTAATAATTATCGTATATTGTATGGGTTTGTTTCCCCTTGGCTAGGGGTAGGCGATATGGCAAAAATATCAAAAATTTTTTGAAATATCACGATTTTATCACGATTCTTTGACATGTTGGTTTTTCTCTTTTGCAAGCTGTTTGAGCATTACAGCCAAACTAATTTCCCTATTATAAAGACAAAGCCTTTCAAGGTAACAAAATATAAAAAAGAATGGCGGATATTTAGGCCAAAGTGGGTGAAGATAAAAATCTTTGTCATTATTTTATCTTTGTTATTAAAAAATGAGAACAAAGATGCACATTACAAATACACATAATATACAAATAAAATAAACTGTGTTTTATTTTCAAGTAGGCTACATTCAGCATTTTAGCAGGAGCCTTCAAAAAATTTCACGAACAAATATAAAAATAAAACACTATATACATTGATTCCTATTAAAGCAACTGTATTAAAGTTTTTCAGTCAAGAGTATTGAGTGATTTTTCACTTTGTGTTTGGTGTTTTATTAACATTAAAGGAATAATTCACCCAAAAATTTAAATAGGCTAGTGTTTTATTTTTATACCTTCATTTACTCACTCGAAAGTTGTTTTAAACCTAAATGAGTTTCCTTATTCTGCTAAACATAAACACTATTTTGAAGAAGGTGGAAAACCAAACATTTGCTGGTCCACAGTGACATCCATAGTATTTTTTTTTCCTACTATCAAAGTCAATGTGGACCAGCAACTGTTTGGTTACCCAGATTCTTTAAAATATCTTCTTTTGTGTTCAGCACAAGAAAGAAATTAATATAGGTTTGGGACAACATGTGAGTGAATAAATAATGACAGAAATTAAATTTTAGGGTGAACTATCCCTTTAATTACAGTTGGCAGCATGTAGCCTACTGTCCCTTTAAGACCTGCACACATCTAATATACAGGCCAAACGGCAACCTCCCGCTCTCTCTCGTGAAACCAACACAGAAGTGACTAAAAATGCAATTCATCGACTGGCCGCTAGAGGCTGGCTCCAAAAGGGAGTCAGTCCCATAGACTCGCCATGTTAAAATGCCCAACTTTACAGCAGAAAAACATGTTTACAGCCTGGTACAAAAAGTGGTTTTGGTCTATATAGCTAATTTTGCTAATTTTACAACTGTGAGGGTGGTGAATATTTTTATAACTCATCCGTTTAAATTATATTAAGCCTTAAAGTTCTGCATAATTAAGGGCGTGGCCACTTGAGTGACAGGTGGATTGCCTCGAGCTAGGTGGGCGTGGTTTCAGCAACCAGCTCCCACCTCTTTGCCCATTTTCGATTATCCGGGAGTGACGCACGGTGACACACTGCCAAGATGGCGACGGCCGGCTCCGCCCACTTTGAGCTTCAAAAACGCTCTTCAGAAATCTATGGTTGACATCACGGATACTACGTCCATGTTTTTATACAGTCTATGATACAGGCACGCATCCGTTTCTCTCAGTTTTTTACTTTCATTTTAGACATAACCAACTGAGTCTATACGGTACATCAACATTGTGTGTTTTGACAGTATTAGCACAGAACATAACTTAGTTCAGTAATCAGGCACTGTTTGACGGGCTTTTTCGTTTTCGTGAGCGTGCTTCGGGTGTAGGCCGCTCAGAAAAAGCGCTGGTCAGAACAGCACACGAATGACATTTTTAACCAGTGAGGCTTTAAAGCAGATGCAAAAATTTACTTTTGTGATTGTGAATAAGTGCAGTGTCATTTGATAAACTTCAGTTTAATTATTGTGTACATTTTGATTGTTACTTTTAAAATTATGCTGCCGTTTGTTTGTTTGTGTGTGTGTGTGTGTGTTTTATTGAAACATTTTAGTTTTCATGTTGAAAAATGTATGATGCACGGTGTTCTTGACTTTTATTTATTTTGAATCTTGTGATTAAAGTATATTTCATATAAAATGCCAGAAATTTCAAACATTATTTTTAATATCACAAACAGGAAATAACTGGCATAATACAATGAAACGAATAACTGTATGCAACTAAATTACACAAGATTAATGTTTTTAAAATGCTTAATATATCATTATAAAATGCATACACACATAAAGTATGACGTATCGTGTGTAATAAAAGCAAATTACCCCTTAAAAACCGTAAGGTGGCTTTACTCTGTTAAGAACGTAAGCTCCGCCCCTCACTTCCGGTTCTGTGGCTGCCGTTCTGAAACTGCTGTTCTAAAACTGCTGGTGCTGCGGGTCTGCAGCTGGATACTATTGTGGCCCAATCAGCCAAGTACTTTTTAACATTTTTTTTATTAATGCTCAAAAATCAAGAATCGTACACATAGAATAATACAACCATTATCATAAAAAAGATAAACAATAATAACAAAAAAGAAAGAAAAAGAACAGGGAAAAAAAGAAAAAGGGGGTTGTTAATACATTACAAACTGAAAGAATAAAAATTGAGATTTACATGTCATTAAAGATAGGAAAAGAGTTACAGATAGATAAAGTTTTTAAGGCTTTTTGGTTCTTAGACAACTGGATTAATGAAAGGTATTGCTCAAAATCTTTTATAAAAACAAAGAAGAGAGGTCTAGAGTTTGAATATTTGCATTTGTGGATGTGAAATTTTGCAAGAAGCAAAATCAGATTCACTACATAAAACTGTTTCCTTTTAGATTGTTCATACTCAATAAAACCCAATACTACGTCCTTCCAAAACAGAATACATTCATTATAAATGTTACTCCTAATGAAACTTAAAACATCTTGCCAAAATTTCTTTGTAAATGGACAGTTCCAAAAGAGATGAACAACAGTTTCAACAGAGTCATCACAAAAAGAGCAACTGGAGGAAATATCACTTTTGAATTTTTTCATGTAATGCTTTGCAGGATATAACTTATGAAGTATTTAGTAGGAAATCTCCTTTACTTTGTTAGTTAGTAAATAAGTATGAGGAAGCATCCACACTTTTTATCAGCCAAGTACTTTTTTTTATTTTTTATTAATGCTCAAAAATCAAGAATAGTACACATAGAATAATACAAACATTAACATAAAAAAGATTATCAGCCAAGCATATGAATAATGCAGTGCTAATTGACATAGCATTTATTACAATATAGAAACTTATTATGTGATAAAAAAGTGTTTGTAGTATATAAACAAATCATTATTATTGGTTATTGTCCAGCAGTTACAGATTTCTAAGCCAATTAAAAGCTAGAAATGAGAGAAAAATTTAAGTTGCCTATACCAGTCAAAAGTTTTTGAACAGTAAGATTGTTAATATTTTTTTTAATGAAGTCTCTTCTGCTCACCAAGCCTGCATTTATTTGATCTAAAGTACAGCAAAACAGTACAATTTTTAAATATTTTTTACCAGGCTATTTAAAATAACTGTTTTCTATTTGAATATATTTTAAAATGCAATTTATTGTGATTTCAAAGCTAAACTTTTAGCATAATTACTCCAGTCACACGATCCTTCAGAAATCATTCTGATATTCTGATTTGCAGCTCAAAAAATCATTTATTATTATGTTGAAAACAGCGGAGTAGATTTTTTTCAGGTTTCTTTGATGAATAGAAAGTTCAGAAGAACATAATTTATCTGAAATGGAAATCTTTTGTAACATTATAAAACTCTTTATCATCACTTTTGTCAATTTAAAGCATCCTTGCTAAATAAAAGTATTAATTTCTATAATTGCTTTTCCAAACAATATACTGACTCTAAGCTTTTGAATGGTATAATGTATAATGTTGCAAAACCTTTTTATTTCACGTAAATACTGATCTTTGGATGCTTCTATTCATCAAAGAATCCTGAAAAAAATGTACTCAACTGTTTTAAATATTGATAATAATGATAATTAAAAAAGGTTTCTTGAGCAGCAAATCAGCATATTAGAATGATTTCTGAAGGATGTGACACTGAAGACTGGAGTAATGATGCTGAAAATTCAGCTTTGATCACAGCAATCAATTACATTTTAAAATATATTCAAATAGAAAGCAGTTATTTTAAATAGTAAAAGTATTTCATAACATTACTGCTTTTGCTGTACTTTGGATGAAATAAATGCAGACTTG